TGTAAAACATCCATATTCAAGATGGATGCAAGTAGGTGTTCCATCTAAAAACAATGCAAACCAACAATTCAAATGTTTTCTTACTAGAATTATTATTTTTAGTTTTGAATTTTTTTTTTTTTTTTCATATTCATGATCTTCATGTTAGAGATTATATGTCCTTAAAAATTAAGTCATAAAATCCATCTCAAAAATAGATTTATTAAGTGGCCCGAATTTCTACATATGCAGGCTTGGCTGCATCAACCGGGTCCTAAAAGAACTGAAGTTTGAATCCTTCTTGTTTTCAAGCATGCAGAAGCGCTATTTCAAGACAATATTTGCCCCTTTCGATACTATAATAGATTGTGCATAAGAATGACAACTCATCTTTGGAATACAGAAAAATATAAAGGTCTCTTTTGATGTTCTAAAGCTCTATGCAGTTGAGCTTGAAACCCACCGTAGACACCAGTCTTGTATTGTTTAATGAGAGAAAGAGAGAAAAATGAGTAGAGAGAAAGAGATGAGTGATCTGTTATGCTATGTAAAATTTCATAGAGAATGGTGTGAAAAAAGTGTGTTAGAAGAGCAGAGATGAGTGATCTGTTATGCTCACTAAAATTTCATAGAGAATGGTGTGAAAAAGTGTGTTAGAAGAGCATTGGAAGAGTGTATTTCGTAAGCCTCACAATTTCTTCAGCCTTGAGCCCGAACTGTACATAGGTGCTCAGGCCGGCGAGAGGTGACGATGCGTAATACGAAGTGCGCCACATCAAGTGCCCGGACCTGTACACGTGGTGCCGATACCCGTAATACGAAGTGTGCTACATCAAGTGCCCGGACCTGTACACGTACTCGGGTGAGGGGCGGGCGCCAATACGAAGTGCAAACCCACCCTTCCTCCCACGCGCTTAGTGCGGTGCTCCACAAGCACCTCATTTTACTTACTGATCTCAAAACCCGTGACTCTTCCAGGACACGGAAATTCGAAGCCCTAGAGTTTTCATATGAGCAAAAGCTCAAGGCCCCAGAGTTTTCAAAAAGCACGTAGGATTTTTTTGTTGAACAAAACATGGAGGCCCTGGAGTTTTCTAGTGACTGAAACTCACCATCGGTGCCTAAAAAATTACAGTGCACATACTTTATTTCCATGGATGAGATAGAAACACCTAATTGTGAAAGGGTTTACCATTAAATGGAAGAGTAAGAAAGTAAATAAGCGTGCAGAGATATTAGAGACGAGGATTTCAAAGAGTCTGAAATGGTGTGCGAGCAATAAGAGAGAAAAAGGGAGAGGGGATTTCAAAGACACTGAAATTGTGTGCGAGCAATGAGAGAGAAAGAGGGAGAGGGGATTTCAAAGAGAAACTGAAGAATATCATAATTATATGGGTGCTGTTTGTATAGATCCTAGGGTCTAAACAATCCAATTAGAGCCTACCTGCAAATAGTGTCGAGAAATGTGATTTCAATACTAGAAATCTTTGTGATAGCCTTAAAATATATTTTTATCTTTATTTATAAAATTTAAAGCTTAAAAAATAGTATAAATCGACGTATCTATGAAAATCTTGAAAATTGACGATCCAAAAATTCATTACAAAATACACTATTTCCAAAACTTGATATCCATTTTTTTCTCATATCCATGCATCTTGATGTCGAGATGATCAATTTGAGGATATTTGAGCATCAAAACAATCTCTTCTACTGGAATTTTTGAAGTAGGCTTAGAACCTCGGCTCTATATAAACTTTTCCCTAATTATATTGCCTAAGAAATACACAAAGAAACGCCCCGACACATAGGAACATCGGCAGGTGATCTTTACATTTTCAAATTGGAAGCTATAAAAAAAATAATAATAATAAAAATTAATAAAAAAAAGCCAATGGTCCTGAGGGTCATCAACGCCCATTGAAAAAAGCTGCACGTGATAGAGAAGATGGAAATCACCATTGGTGTGGGTCAGGTCTTGTCCTAGTGTGTGCCTCTCTCTCTTCTGTGTAGTCCAAGAAGTCAATGGATGTCCTAGTGTGTCCCTCTCTCTCTTCTGTGTAGTCCAAGAACTCAATGGATGGTGATGGCCACCGGTTTCCCCAAGATCCTCAGGATCATATCATACTAATAATCACAGATGGTGACGGCACCAATAACGGACCGGTTTCCCATTGTCCCCACCCCTTTTAATCACCTTCACTGTGATTTCTCATAGACATTGGCACTTCCCCTCAACAGTCTATTACTCTCTCTTTCTCTCTCTCTCTGAACCCCAAGCCAATAGCTCAGGGCTTGCAGAAAAAAGCATTTAAAATAATTTTTCTTTAACGAGAAAAATATATTATATTCCTCATTTTTATACCTTCTACCAATGTTTCCATTCTTGCGTTTTACCAGTTGTTTCGATTGCAAAAGCCATTATTTCATATAATTCTCAAAAAATGAAAAACTCCCTGGCCTCATTTATCTTGCTTACTATTCTTTTACTATTTTACCATTCTCTCTCTTTTTTTTCTTTTACTATTTTACCATTCTCTCTCTCTTTTTTCTTTGACCTTTTTCATACTCTCCTGTTGTTATGCTGCAATGACTCACATTCCATTCGACTAACGAACCCAGCAATCAGCATTGTCGAGGCGGTTTTCAAACCTTGGCCACAAAGAAATGCTTCGGCAGGGCTTGGTCCCAAAACTGTTTAGAAGGTAATTTCGGGTAGAAGCCTAAACCCTAATAAAGGATAATTTGGTGTAAAATATTTTCATAGTGAGTAGAAGAAGCTGATGTCCTGCCTCCAATCAATCTCCAAGGTATGTTTTATCACTAAAATCCCACAAAGCCCTTTTATCTCTCCTTTCAGGGTATCTTATGTTCAAATTCAACAATAATATGCCCAACAAAATCATGCTTCTGTGAAATCCCTCACATTCTCAAACCACCATTTAGGTTTCATGCTACGAAGAATCTTAGCGGCAAGATCACTTTAAAAATTATCATACCATTGACCATCCAACAATAATTAACAATACCTAAAAAATTAAGTAAATTGTTATATGCATTCCAAGAATATCGATCATACTGATAACCAACCAACAAATTGACAATGCCATCCAATAAATGATCTTTCATCACAGGCCTCAACCAAAGCTCCCAAAGCATCAGAGCATCATCAGTTGCTTCAATGAATAATCACCAACCAAATGTGCATCATCAGCAACAAACAATTATACAGCCCCCCTAGAATGATGAAATTCACTTCTACTCAATGGAATAAAGAGCCTAAAGAAAAAAGAGCAAAACTTCAATCTTGTAAATATCAGGTGTTAACAGATGAGAAATCAGCATCTTCACATAATCACTTCAACATCAATATCCAAAACATCAATAATATATAAATGGTTGTCCCAATTCTTAGCCTTGAAATGATCTAACATTTGCATCTCTGTACAAATCTAGAGATGCAAAACACCAAATCCAAGCAAGAAGAGATGAGAAAACACAAACTCAACGGGAAATTAAAAAAGAGACCTAAAAAAAGTCTGTTGCAACAAAGATTTGGTCAAGCATTTTGTCCCAAACTATCATTGAGGATCAGTAGGAAGCCTATTTGGGGGAATTAGTACTTAATTACAACTATCCAATTCAGGGAAGAACATGAAGCCTCACATCAAATGTTCTTAAATAGGAAAAACCGGCGCACTAAGTAAATGTACAATTTGCCAACGTTACATGCTTTATTTAGTTGTTAGGATGGGACTCACCTTTACTCTAAGTCGTCAACTTTTTAAAACATGACGTATTGGAGGTAAGAATGCATTCAAACCCTAACCCTAATTTTGCTTTCAGCTCAAATGGGGTTAGATTAATGGGTATGGCATAAGTTGAAAGAATGCTCAAAAGCAATAAATAAAACCTCATTTTTGAGATAGAACAACTTGCCGAGTCAACTCAAACCGTCCAATAGGCAAGTTTTATAAAACCATATATCTATATCTATGTATGAAACACTTAGGTGTCAACCATAGAAAAAACCATATATCGATATCTATCCATCTATCCATATATCCATCTATCTATCCATATATCCATCTATCTATATATATATGGAAAAACATTTTGTCAGCCCAAGGGCTAATGCAATAGTTACACCCAATGGCCCAGATTCAATCTATGCCGATGGGATGGTCATGGTTGTATTTCGTATTTGAATTTTCATTTTGTTATACAAATCCAAATTATTTAAATTTTGAGCATCTATTCTTGAAAAATAGGTGCACCTAATAAAATATTAAAAAATAATTTACAAAAAAGTAAATCAATCAAAATACCTTAAGTAGTTCTAGAGGTATTTTAGTCAACTTATTTTTTGTAAATTATTTTATTTTTATTTTTATTTGGGTGCACCTTGATAACAAGGGTGGATCTCCAAATTTGAAGCGATTTGGATATGTACGAAAAAAATTAAACTCAAATATTATATACAATCATGACCATCAAATCAACCCAAATTCAATCTAGGCCACATGTCATATACTATTGCACTAGGCCTTGGGATATAAAAGTTACTCCAATATATATATATATATATATATATATATGGAAAAGTCTTCCCAACGCTTATAGGCGTAAATGAACAGTGATTTCGCCTACCCTCATCACCGTCCAAAGTTCATCGTACGGTCACGATTGTCCAGTAGTGTTTCATTTTTTATTTTCTTTGTAAAAATCGGAATGATTTGAAATTTGGAGTGTGTGTACATCTTAGTGAGGCGCACCTAATAAAA